TATTATATACACATACATATATGTATTATATATTTCATCCAGTATAGTAGCGAAACCATAAGTATACTGAGAAAGTGTGCCATACTGGTGACAAAGAGAGCCGTCTAAGTGCCACAATGGGCATGACAAAGACGAACGAGCTATAACTCGCGCTGACGTTGCATATATTCCGCACCAGTGTCACCATTTTCCTTGTTTTCCTTGCTTACGTCGTTCCTCCTGTTCTCCTCCAAGCGGGTTATGTCACTTACATACTGTGTATAAATATAGGATTTACATATTTCAGCATGTCTAGGGAAAGCTTACGTGACATGAGCTTGAATGCAACATCGGTTGTTTTTTATGAAAAAGGTTAAGCTATAAGTATAATCAAGTCCGTATATGTAGTGGCTGAAAACATCTTCGACAATCATTTGAAAAATATGTGGCTTCGAGTTATCGAATTCCTTAAGACGTTGTGAATAGTTATAAGTCTCAAAGTATTCTAAGGTGCACCCTATAATATCGTTTTTCATTCAAGAAGCACTGATAGCACATTTTCTCAAGCAACATTCTCCTTTAGCTGCTTATGCAGTATCTAATACTTGACTCCAGAAAAAAAAAATGTAAAAATATTTTCCAATATTGAATTAAATATCTTCTGTTTCATAAACATACTTTACAAATTTTATTGTTACATATTGATTCCTAATATATTTTTCTTAATAACATATTCTTCATTTACTTTTTTTCTTCTATTTTATCAGTCTGCAAATTTTTATTGATGTAAAAGTTAATTTTCTTTTTTTTTAAATTTTCAATAAATTTATTTATTACAAGATTAAAGTTCTTATTTAAATGTAACTATTATTATTATGCAAAAAACGAACTGTTTGCGAAATGTAATAAAGTTCTTTTCTCTTTTTATTGATCTTTCTCTCTTTCTTTTATATACTTTTCTCTTTTCTTATGTTAATGATTCAATCTGCTTTGACCTTTTCCTATTCAGCAAATGTCGATTTAACTAAGATCTGCTTTGACGATGCCGCGCACGACGCTACTTTCGCCAAGTTTACGGTTAACCATTTCAATCCGCATTTCCCTTCAGCAAATTATTGCGTCAATTCTATGCTAATGAACTAAGTTCTAGCTGTGGCCCAATTGCAATTGCTGTTGCAGAAACAACCGTGTATCATAACAGTCACAGCAAACGGCGTGCAACCCTGGTGAAAATAATTACACCGCGTTACTGTATCAATGTAATCTGTATTTGTGTGTAACATGTTATACATGTATTTTATTGTTCTATATAATTTGGAAAAAAATAAAAACTTGTTGTGTTTTAACATGTAAACAAATCATATTACGAGAATCATATTGCAAATATTTTTATTAATTTGTATACAAGGGATGCCACATGATGAGAAATATAACTCATATGAAAAATGAATTATAAGATCATCTCTGTCAAGATCAAGAAAAAAAAGAAATATCCGGAAATGTGTTTCCTTTTTCAATTGAAGGACACAATGTAAGCATCCGAAAGTTCTCTGTTATATGAGATGCAAAATGATGAAACTCAATCCGCTTAACTGAACTCGCTATTCAGACGGTTCTTCAATTGTTCAACATTATACGTACCTCGGAGCATAGTTGCAAACATACATATAGAAATCCTTGCCGAGCGGACCTTTGCCGCCAGTGCAATGGCTCACTCCGCATCCGACTAGATGTGTCGTCGCCCACACCACCTGCGTGTAATGGCCGATCTCGAGGATCTCATTCGTCGTATTGGGTCCGTACTTGAAGTCCTTGTACTCCATGTACCACATTCTGATGGGGAAGTTCCTACAACATTCCGACGAATGTTGGGACGGTGGGAGGGATTCTCGATTTGTGGCAATGGCGATTTGTCCGCGTGTAACGTAAATCATTCACATCCGGTATGTTTGTAAAGTCCCTAGTGTACATGCCGAAATCTACGCTATAGTCCATCGTGAACTGTTTGCCTGCGTAATCTAATTCTAACTTTGTTGACTGAAGAATTAATTACAATATGCTCTTTCAACACAGCGCGAAACTAAATTTTCCGATAGCTCGGAACGTGATCAACTCTTTTGAAATTATCTTGATTGCATATCGAAGTAATAAAATTGTAAAATTTGAAGTATCTTGTCGCATATCCAACGACAAAATTAATCATTCCGGATGGTATCTTTTCAAGAAGTTATCTTTTGATATGTAAATAATGAAGTAGCAAGATAATTAACGGTGCATCCATGGCAGATGGACCACTGCATTTTCACGGAAGTCTAGCGTGCATGCACAGAGTACATCTGTACAAATATACCAACTGCAACGCGAAACTCGCTAACTAGAAGTAAACAAGATTTAATAATATCTCACCAGAGCGTACGACCCGTGCTGATGAATATGTTTTGTCCACTCTGTCCAAAGCCATCCAGGTACAGACCGGTCGCATTGTCATGCACCAAACCGAGACAACGATCGGCCCACCTCTGTGCTGCCTTTGCTAAGCCCGAATGCCATTTCTAAAACAAAGAAAGACATCCAGAATTATCAGACGTTATCAGACATGCCTGGCTTTATTGTAGATTGTCTCGGAAATTGCTAACTACAAATATTAGAAATTGAAGTGAAAAAATATTTCTAATTTTAGAAATATATAGGGTAACTCCGGTATGTCGCATTTTTCAAAAATTTAATTTATTAAATATTATTTACTATGTTTAAAGTAAACGAACTATTGTATATCAGTAAAAACTTTGTATTGTCTACTATTATGAAAAAAATATTAAAAATCCGAAATATTTATATTTCGTATTAAAAATGAACTTTTTTAAACCCTTGCATTTTGGCATTTTAGAAGTGAGATATATGACTACTCATAGGAGGAAAGGAGGGAGGGTTGTAAATGGCTCATAAAAAATTTACAAATAATGCATACAAATAATGCATATAAACGTATATACACGTGAAGTGACACAATAACTTATAAAACGCATTTATAAAGTTTTATTAAGGAAAAATGATAAATATGTATATGAAGTAATAAATAATAATTACAACTTCCCACATGTATTTTATCAAGTATTATGACAGTGTTATGAGGTACATATTCCATGTAATGCGTTTATTGCATTTAGTGAATTCAATCTACCTTGTATGCTTTGGGCATAAATCTAGCTCATTAAAAATATCCCAAACAGGTGAAATATACAGGACAACAAACTAAATAAAGAAGCAAGAAATACAAGAGCAAAGTATTTGTATTTTGTTATATATTTTACTATTCCTCTACACTCATGTATTACGAAATAACCACTAAGTCTTTTGCACATCCTACAGTAATCATTTTATATAGATTATAATTATTTATTATGGCGCTACTTAACACAGTAACAAATCAATTCAACTCATAATAATTTTATTAATATTAACAGAAGAAACTGAAATCGTAACACAATACTAACATAATATGAAGGCATGTAACAGAGTAGTGTGAGAAAATTATCCTCACTCCTTCTATTTTTTCTAACTTCTGCGGCATAAATCCCAATCTGGCATATTTACCGGAGTTACGCTAAATATGAAAAAATATTTCTAATGTTAATAGTTTTGAAATTACATCGAAAATTTCTTTTTGAAAGTTCTTTTTATAGATTAAACTTCAAGAAAATAACAATTCTAGATAATAAAATAAATAATTCTCTTATTATAAGTAAATAGTTCCAAAAAAAATAAGCTGAATGTTAACGAAGTGCTAGAGAATGTATATAATTTATTTTTTTATATTTTATTAAAAAAAGATGACTGCAAATTGATCGAGGGATTTGTAATTGAGAAGTTCTATACATTATATTTATTTTAGAAAAAGTTTAAAGTTTAATTAAATGCGTATAATACGACTACATTTACGAATGCAAAAAGTTTTCTCGCTTCTGCGTACATACGTAAACCTGCGGCAAAAGTTTCTTGACTTTCCTTTGGCTTCTTAATTGCTCGTTATATGCAAATATCGTGCTTTCAAAGCCATAATGTACGCCTCGTAGAGGTAAATTCCTCGTTCTTAGAAGTTTCTCAGAGGAAAATGCTATGCTTCTTTTTTTTGCTACTGCTCATATTTACATTTCCGTTTATTCCTCCACATTTTCTGTGCTCAATCTCAAATTATAACTGCGCCTTAATTCTCCGTAATGAATTTTTTGAATCGCATTTATAGTCGCAATAACTGCAACTACATAAAAAAACAATTAAAAGTTCTCCGCGATGCTCCGATATTGCATTCTACGTGCCTACATTAAGAAAGTCAGAACCTAAGTCCAGGAGTAGGTTTCCTTAATCAGAGACGTTCCTTGATTTATGCATCTTAAGGCGACTGCTTTCTTGCTTATATAAAGTTAGTTCTGAATTCTAAGTACCAGGTGCAATATTCTGTAGCGCACAATATATTTGAAATTACAATTTTTAATTATTTCTTACCTCGTAGAAGATATATTTAATGGAAGGTACATTAATATTATATTATGTATATATATA